TGATATTTTTGTAAAACGAGTAAAGTGTGTGAATCTCTCTTCAGGTCAGGCTGGGGAAAGGCGCGTTGTCTTGACTAGAGTAACACCGCCATCGTGTGGTGAACATTGTAAGTGTCGAATATATTCAAGGACGACAAAGAATCTGCTTGTCTAGAACAACAGGATAATGCAATACTCTTAACGAATCCACGAGCACAAAACATTCAGCCAACAATATTTTTTGCTTTTAAATGTGATTATTTCTTGGGCTATCGAAAAACAAAAAATAGTTAGAGTGTAAGTTACTTTGGGTGTTTTTTCCCCTCTAAAGCTACTGCGCACGGGTTCTGTTGGTAAGACGCGTGGGAGAAGGATGGTGTGCCGTGATGGTAGAACTCCGGGAACTGCGCCGCGTGCTGAAACGCAGATCCTGAGTTGTACAGCACAGATGGTCTGCCTCCAAGATCCGGCGCGTACCCCGAGCAGTCATAGTAGTTGGAGCGCAGAGAATCGCCTCCTTTAAATTTAGTGAAGAGGGAATTGACGAAGTAAGAACTCATTGCCTGCCAGATCAACTCCCCGAAGAAGGAACTTTGACAACTATTGAGACCAAGCAGTCTCTTGATGAATAATGTTAATTGAGCAAAGGCAGGCCTGTTGTTACAATAAAAATGAATTCATCCAGGTGGAAATTATATGCATAAAATGTCGTAAATATTGATAGCTGCGCCCACATGACTCCTTAGTGATGGTCCCCGAGCAATAAATTGTTTTCCGTTTTTACTCTCTTTGATAGTGAGTTGCATTTCATATGGGCGTTAGTTATCGATTCCTTATATCACTGGATGGGCTCGACATCTCCAAACAGACAAAGCGCGATCTTGCGAAAGGAAGAGCAGGAGAGACTGAAAAGGAGAGATGAAAAAGGGGAGAGAGGGAGCTCTTGGGGAGGTAGAGGGGGAGGTGCAGTAGGACTGTTATTGGTAAACCATTTCAGTGCCAGCCAAGAGCACATACAGCCTACACGACAAACGAAATGTTTCCAGTGGGCAAACAAAAACAGATTTATTCAGGTTCATCGTATGATGTATTAGACTATATTTGTCATCACATTCATGTTTATGGTTTGATGATTAAGATATTCGTCTGTCTATTAGTCTAATGCAATGTAGGCTACTGCAAATACTTCTATAGCCTTCTTCGTTTAGAAAACGTCACCAAGTGTGTACGAGTGAGTGGATTCAAAGGTGGAAAGGATTTAACTCATAGAAGCTAAGAATAGACCCACCCATGATAGAGAGGAGGTCCTTTTAATATTTCTAATTTTATGTAATTGCTTCACAAGTTTTCATTGACTATTTACATGTAAAAATAATTTTTGCACCATGAGGGGGGAAAGTAGAACGGAGTAATTTTCTGGAGAAAATGAGAAAGCAAACAACGCGTTGCTGAACAGCTGCAAGATATTTTCATACCACAGTTGCTTTAATTTTCTGCATTTACTTTATGAGCAGAGGAACAACTAATTACATTTTACTGCTTTCGTTTTATGCACTATCAAGTCACGGGAAATTAAGCGTAGGCCTCTGATTCAAAAAGACAGCTCGTCTCTGCATTTACCCCGCATTACTCTGTAAAAACAACCACTTATTATGATTATTATTATGATTATTATTGTTGTTAAAGAACCTGTTAAATAATATATATTTTTTAATATTCTTCAATATATTCATATTCTTTAATAATAATAATAATACATTAATTTGCAAAAGTATAAATTAATAATGAGTGTTTTTAATATTATAATTTGCAATCGTATTCGTTTTTTGGTGCGTATATCAGATTACACCTCTAAAATGACTAATCTGGTATGTGGATCGTTGAAGCCAATTACATTTTTTATTATTTAAAAGAGGATTAGAAACTGTTCATATCTGAATAATTTTAAGCTTACGTCACACAGGACAAAACATTTAAATTTAAATATTTTAAAATTAATTTTAAACTAATTTTAAAATAAGATTGAAATGCTACAAAACTATTCACGAGTGTTCAGCGAATGAGATGAAATTACAGATGATTTCTGCAACCGGTTTGCTTTTGTGTGCGATTAAAGAAATCACGCATACCTAATATTTTCATTAGATTTTTATTATTTGCTTTTACATTTTTGATAGATTACAATTTACGTTGTAATTTAATTTTTTTTTAATTTTAATTGAATAAGTGGTGTAGTGCTCATCTAGCTAGTAATCTCCACTAGTCGACAGAGGCTGTTATGTTAAAACCAAACCACCTTTGACCCTTACCCATAATTCTGTATGACTGCCCTCTTTATATGTTTGTATATTTATGATGATATAAATTCAACATGACTGTCAACATTTATGCTCTAGCTCTGTACTTAGGGGATATTTACCATCATCTTCTACTGCAATATGTAACCATTTCAAAATCCATTCATTTAGAAAAAAAATATACTATATTTTTGTTTTTAATGAAAAAATAAATACATTATAAATGTTTTTACCTAAGCCCCCCTATGTTTGATAATGTTTTTGGGAAACATGTAGTGGAGATTAAGTACAATTTGCCTGCTGATAAAACTCCACTTTAGCTAAATTTCCTTTTTCTTCCTTTTTGCATTCATTTAGAAACTCTGATATTTAATAACAAACTCTAAATCTGTTTGGCAGCACAGAATTAAACCTAAAGAAATAGCTTACTCAAAAGTGTCAGGATTAGGATAGTTCTCCCTTGAAGGGTTAGGATTTGCATGCTAGAAATAATAAACAAAATACTATAAAAAGTTCTACTGAAATGTTTATTTATATTGGCTCAGTTTGACATGACATAAAAATAAAAGCATGTTCACATTAATTTATATTAAAATCATTCACTTATGGCTTCTTTCAAACTAAGAATGTGCAGTAAGAAAAAACATTAAGGGTTACAACAAGCATCTGCCCACTGCATTGCCAAAAGTCGTTTCCTGACTAAATGTAACCAAGTTGACAATACGGAGAAATGGCTTCCTATTAAGAGTGAATTTTCACATTTTCAGTACGGAAGACAGTTGAATGCAGACCTTCTCACCTTCTATTCCTGATTTATTTCTGACATCTCAACACCTTCCTTAGTCTGTATTCTCCATACTCATTTTATGCAATTGCTTGTTAATGTTGAGCTTGTACACGTCCTGGTCAGTGGCTGTGCTCATGCGGGGGGACTCTGCGAGGGGCCTTTTGAAGGGCGTGGGAGAGGTGTGGCCTGGGGACAAGAGGAGCAGGGGTGGAAATGACATAGAGAGATTTGGGGTCACGGAACATCGTGGCACCCTGTGTTCGCCCTAGAATGAGGGGAGGCACTCCTAGCATTGACGCTCTCACACTCGACTCAGCCAAAGAGGAACTCATGCTGCCCTGACGCCAAGCGAAAGACCCATTTACTGTAAGCAGAGAAAGAAGAGAGGTGTATTATTTTCTATGAATCATTCCTTTTCTGGTTTTATGATATGGGAGTAAAAGAGCCAGAGAACTATTCAAAAAGTTAATCACTTGTCAAAGGTATCCGTTGAGCACTAGTAGCCTTCATTAGACCAGCAGATGCCTGCCGCTCTGCATTTAATGCTGCCATCTCTTCCACCCCACAGTGTTTCAGACCTCCCGGTTCAGTCTGGACTGGCTGGAGCAGACCGTGTTCTAGAGAGGGCCATGGCTTTCGGTTTTGCAGCGGCTGGGAATGTATACACTGCAGGCAGGGCTTAGCTTTTGTAGACACCTTCTGCTGCATCATAGTGCAGAAGTTCTTCTGCCTCCAAGAAAACTCTGCAATGGAGTCCAACTGGATAGAGAAAGTAGGAACATTTTATATTAAGGCAGTTTAGAATATTGTCCAGTAAGAAAGGAGAATTTGCTTACTTTTTTTTCTCTGCAGAACACAAAATAAAATATTTGAAAGAACGTTTTAGCTGTTTTTATATATAGAGTGAAACTCAATGGGGTCCAAAACAACACCGGACCAGTGTTGTTACATCTAAAACTATTAAAAATGATATTTGGTAATTGAAACAAAGCTGAAATAAAATAAAGTATATTTATGAAAAA